CCGCTAAAATCTCTCAGTTATCACAAAACTAATTCCCAACAGGAAGGCTTTGTACGATAGAAGGTTCCAGATTCGGGAGTTTGAAAACTGTGAATGACAATGAACATAGAAAGTCCTTGTCTTCCATCTATCAATGCAGCTGTTTAAACCTGCCGCTAAAATCTCTCTCATCACAAACTAATTCCCAACAGGAAGGCTTTATACGATAGAAGGCTCCAGATTCGGGGGTTTGAAAACTGTGGACAATGGTTTGAAGATAGAAATGACAGACAAGAAAGCGCTTCCAGCCTAATTGTCTCTCAAAAGCCGACAGTCATTTTACTAGAGAAGCCTTGCTCAGGCTGAAACTGGCTTCGACAATCTCTCAACAGAAATTTTCAAGTTTCAAATTTCAGGCCTGAATTTTGAAACAATCTTCCAAAGACAATTACAATGATTAGGGACAGATCAAGTGCATCGTACAGAATTATAATGTCTTTGGACAGAAAGAGACTTAAAGATTTAGCTTTATTGACACAACAAAAAGTACAGGGACTTTTGTATGGTCTTCTACAACTAAAGATCTAACAAAGCTAAATACATGTGTGGATAACGTCATCTCATGTACAGAATACATGTATGTGGTAACAGTAAAGGTTAACTAGGTCTCTAAGTTCGATACTTTCTTTAATGTGAAGTTAATTATTTCCTCAGCACAAAACTCTGACAGCATTCTATCTAGGCAGTCCTGCTGCTAATGCTGAGTGAGAGCTGTCATAGATTTAAAAAAACTGTCTCTCATCAAAAGCCGACAGCCATTTTACTAGATAAGCCTTGCTAGGGCTGAAACTGGCTTTGACAATCTCTGTGATCAATGGTACAGGCACTAGCCAGAAGTGATTTGAGAGGAGTACGATGGATTTCAAATTGTTATCAAGGTTCAAAATACAAAATAATGACAGAGATCGCAATCTTGTTACAACAATCTCTGTAATAAAAAGTAGACGTTCTAGCCAGCAGAAAAATGGCAGTGATTCAATGTAGGTTCACAATAGTTCAAAATCATTAGGCCACACCAATTTGATTTGTTGGTTCTCGGATTTTTTGAAAATATGGTTAACTGGAAAAACCTAATGAAAGAAAAGTCTGAGGACCTGGTTGATGCCTCGGTGGACTCAGTGTTATGTAGTAAATATTCTAGTTCGCTTCCTAGCCCTCTCATTTTATGATGTCCGCTTGCTATCTTTGAACTAAAAATGTCATAGAAC